TCCCACCTTGGGAATTCGGACCAGGAATTTTTCCAAGGCTTTCTCCCACCTTGGGAATTCGGGCCAGGAATTTTTCCAAGGCTTTCTCCCACCTTTGGCACCATGCTGGCAGCAACTATGATACTGAGACAGAAGTGGCTTCACGGTCTCGGCTTCAACTATCAGTGGATCCCTCCCTTTGCCAACAGATCTGAGGGCATAATGACTTCCTACTGTCACTGCAGCTCCAGACTTCTTGTTGGCTCCCTTAACTTTGGCTAAAGCCTTGCAAATAATTTCTTCACTGAAATCTCTTCAGTTGATCCAGCTGAGCGGAGCTCCGCTTCCTGCCTAGATGGACAGATATACCCCCTACTCACCTTTCTGGAACCAGCAAAACCCTCAGACTCGGTGAAGAAGTATGCAAAAGGCATGAGGAAGATGAGGGACAGGTTGGAGAAGAGAAAAACGAGGTTCCAGAGGCCTAGAGGTAAAAAGAAAGAAAAAATAAAACAAAGGAGAAACAGAGGTGGTCAGTGAAGGGGAGCAGCCCCCGGGGACTGGCCACGTGGTGGGGGAGGGAGAGGGGCGGTGAGGACGCAGGACTAGGTAGCCTAAGGCTGCCCGCACCTGCCCCTCCCTACTCCCTCCCCCAGCAGGGGCCGTGTACCATGGATGAGGGAGCCGTTGAGCCACTGGATGTAGTAGTTCCTCGGCAGTGAGAGCAGCACCTCATTGCTGATGATGGAGAAGGGCAGGAGCAGGACAGCACCCAAGGCGACCGCGAGGGTGAAGGTGCACAGCTCAAGCCTGGGCAGAGAAGGGGATGGGCTCGGCTCAGCACGCTCCACCTTGAGCCTAAGACACCTCATTTGTTCCCCAAGGCACATGTGGCTTCTGGAATCAGTGGCAGCAGTTGACAGACCTAGAGAAGGAACTGTCTAGCTGGGGCTGTACCCGATGTCACTCTACCTTACGCCTTCACCTCCAGGGGAGCCCTGGTACAGGGGATGGGCACAACCTCAGGCACTCACGGGTACCTAGCAAGCAGCCACATCACTTGCCCAGGCTATCCCCAGGAATGTGGCCCTCCCATACATGCCTATAGGGTGTGCCAGGCGTGATGGCAAAGCTAAGGTGTGGCTTTTCTTCTCTCTTAGGGGTAGGGATTATTAAGCTTCCCTCTTCAGCCTACGCAAAAGCAGGGTCCCCCCATATGGTTGTACTGTGAGAAGGCACTGGCGCAAAGGAGGACACGGGAAGCTGAAGCCCGGCTTCACAGTCAGGTCCTGCGCCAGGGGCTGCATTAGCTGGGCCACTTTTATCGAGTTGGTCCATGGGAGATGGAGGTGCAGGGAAGGAGCCAGAGTAAAAACATAAATATACTTACTGGTATATATTTTTCCCTATATTCCAGTAAATAAAAAGAATCTGGAGTAAAGGCTTCCTTTCAAAACCAGCCATTTTCTTCCGTCAGAGGTTTCCATCTTCCCCACACCCTTACTCCAGTCCCCGAGCACTGGCTGCTGGGAGGTGAAGCCAAACTGGGGCTACTTCCGGTGACTCAGGCCCCAGCTGCAGCTCCTGGCTGTGGGGCTCCCTGAACCTCCTGGTCTAACCAGGGAGACAGGAACAGCAGCTTTGCGAGCGTCCGCAGAGCAAGGTACCGCAGGAAGAAGCCTGAACTGGGGTGACAACTCTCTCTACCTGTAGCATCCCATTGTCCCTCCTGCGCTAGAGGTCCTCCCAGATCCTAGCTTCTGAAAGCCACTGGTGCAAGTGCTGAGGTATTGACACTTACGCAATCTTGTTGACTATGGCATCTTCATCATCCACTGCAAGAGACAGACATGGGGAAGAGGCAGCACATCAGTGGGCGGGCCTGGGGGCCAAATGGGTTACAGTGCCCTGCCCCTCCCTTCCCTCAAGTAGAAGCAAGAGCTGGGAGGGAGGCCCTTCACATTATGGGCCCTACACCCTACTCTCCAGCCAAGGTGGCAGCTTAAAGATCAGGGGCCAGGTGTGGTGGCACACAGCTGTAACCCCAGCACTTGGGAGGCTGAGGAGGGTGGATCTCAGGCAGTTTGAGTAGGCTATGAAGTGAGTTCACAGCTAGCCTAAATTACAGAGCAAGACTGTCTCAAAAACCAGTGAAAGAGCAGGGTGTGATGGCACACACCTATAATCCCAGCATTCGGGAGGCTGAGGCAGAAGGATCATTGAGAGTTCGAGGCCAGTCTGGGCTACAAAGTGAGTTCAAGACCAGCCTGAACTGCATAATGACACCCTGTCTCAAAAAAGACACACACACAAAAAACCCACAGTGAAAGAAAGAAAAACTGATCGAAGCCAGGCTTGGTGGTCCACACCTGTAATCCCAGCACTTGGAAGACTGAGGCAGGAGGATCGTTGCAACTTTGAGACCACCCTGGGCTACAAAGTGAGCTCAAGGCCAGCCTGAACTGTATAGGGAGATCCTGTCTCCAAAAATAAATAAATAAATCAATAAATAAATTGATCAAAGGTTCTAGATGCCCAGCACTCAGGAGGCTGAGGCAGGAGGATCACTGCGAGTTCAAGACCAGCCTGGGCTGCAAAGTGAGCTCAGGGCCAGCCTGAACTCAAGAGCGAGACCCTGTCTCAAAAAGAAAAAACAAAACAAAGGTTCTAGATGGAGGGAATATACACCAGATATTCACCTACTTCTCTCCCTTCTCCCCACAATCTCTCCCATCACAGGTTCCTCTTTGATACCATAAACAACTAGTCTCTGAAGTATATTGTATCAGTGGCTGGGTGAAGGAAATGGACTTCAGGGGAGGGAAGAGGGGAAGATTCAGAGAAAGTCTGAAGGGGAAATTACATGAGGGTAGCTGGTCAAGAAGCCATCACAGGGGAGGAAAGGCTGGGATCAGGACAGGATGATCTGAGCAGGCTGGGGATAGGGACTGAGGCAAGTACGTTCCTCTCTCTCCCAGGCACACAATGATTACAGGAGGAAAAGCTACAAGCTAAGCACACTGACTCTGTAGAGAGAAAAGCTACCATCAGCTGGGCCTCAGTGATCAGGGAGGTCTCTGGTCCTGGGTACAGGAGCACTAGCAGAGATGATGCAGAGCATATGCTGTGTTCTGCAGATGCGCTTCAGGTTCACGAAGGGCCCTCATTTGGGCCATATAATGACAACAGCGCATAGGCACTGTTATGTCCATTTTCCAGAATAAAACTGAAGATTAGCAAAGTTACGGGCCTTGCCCAGCAGACACTCCCACCTAGACCTCCCACTATGTCACCGTGGCCCTGCCTGTGCACAAAGGGAGCCTGACGAGAAGGCTCTGGAAGAGCCCGGCAGAACCACCTCGCCTTTCCCCACAGGCCCATCACCCTTTCCCCTGAGGCCGGCTCCACGGCAACAGGAACTCTGGCAGAAGGGAGGGAAGTTACAAGTACCTGTGGTGAACTCAGCAGGCTTCTTGAAGCGAGTCAGGAAGATATGGCAGAGGACGTAGAGTGCCGCAAACAGAAGTACTGAGATCTGTGGCAGACAGTGAGCTAGAATGAGAAGCTCTAAGAATCTCTAGCACATGCCATAGCCCCAAGGGCCTCTGTTTCATCCTGGGGGCCGCTTTCTCAAAAATGAGGCTCCACACTTCCTGGGGTCCTATTCTTACTCCCTTCTTGTCAGGGCCTCAGGGGCTTGATGAAGAACCAACAAGGTCAGTCTCGAACACTCAGGGAAACGGCATCAGGCTCAGTCCTACAAGAATTTTCTCACGGGGAAATAGCTTCAGCCCAACCTTCACTGATAAAAAGAAAACTCCTAGGATGCACACACATACACACCTAAAACAGGCCACAGAACTCGAGGGAGGATGCTTCAAGCACCTTACATGACAGGGAAGCTGGTGTGAGGAGAGAGGTCTGTCTTGTCCTCCTGGCACATTTCTCTCTCACTCTCTCTCTGTCCTCTGCACTGGGAGTTAAACCCTGGGTCTTTGCACTGGGCTGTATCTCCAGCCCCTTTTTATTTTTCTAAATTTTGAGACAGGGTCTAATCACTAAGCTGCCCAGGCTGGGCTCAAACTTGTGGTCTGTCTGCCTCAGCCTTCCAGAGTGCGGGGATTACACGGTATGTGCCACCACGCCCGGCTTGGCACACTACTCCTACCCTATCCCACTGTCCAACTCCAGAATGTGTAGGAATCAGATTTCTAGACTAAGTCGGAACTTCTACTCCTTCAAGGGCTCTGAAAGATCAGGTCTGCTTTGGGCCAAATTAGAGGCTCATTTAATCCTCATTCAATCTACAAGTAGGCTTCACTGGGCCCAAAATCTACAAGTTTTCTAGAGCTGGTATCATTCACGTTAACAGCTGTCAACCTGGACCCTACCTCAAGTGACATCTACCTCCAGTATCAGCCTCTCAGGGCTATCACGTGCCCCTGAATGTTGGATCTCCAGTTGACCGACGTGGTAGAGTCTGGGCAGCTTAATCTCAGTACATGTACCACACCCCTATCTAATCTCCAGTCACGGTTATTACCCAGAGAAGCCACTGGTCAGCTTAGCTCCATCATCAAGAGAGTCTCAAGAAAAATTACTGGCTAGAGCTGGGTGCAGTGGTGCACGCCTGTAATCCCAGCACTTGGAAACTTGAGGCATGAAGATCACTGTGAGTTCAAGTCCAGCTGGGGCTACATAGTGAATTCAAGGCCAGCCTGAACTACATACTGAGGCCCTGTCTCAAAAA